TACATAAAATATTTTAATACCTTCCGCGGTTTTGTGCTTTTCAATGAAAAACCCGAAACTATCGCGTAGAAATATAGTAGTGAAAATTTGAAATTCCGGCACGGAGCTCTATGCAGTTTTATGCGCCGGTTCATGTGTGCGTGAGAAGGGTAACATATTTCTATGTCTGAATGCGCCTTGTGGCATGCAGGCAAGTTGTACGGAAACCTCTCTCGTACCACAATGTCAAGAGGAACATGTGGGACAACATAAAAGAAAACTAAAAACCTATAAAATTGAAAACTGTAAAAATAGTCTTCTTCTACATTTATTTTTGTTGTTACCATTTTATAAAAAGAATTCTCACTAGAAATTTTTTTATTTGCTAAAGAATTATTTCATTGGAGAATGATTCTTTCAAGCTTCTGTAGTTTGACGGTATTATATTTAGTTTTCAAACTCACTATATTGATATGACATGAGACGCAGACGTGTCTTGTTCCTTTGACTTATTTCAAAGGTATGTTGACTTGCACATAATGAGGACCAAAATGTGCAAGAGTACATTTCTACAGCTACAAATAAATGCAACTATGCGTATGGATGTATGTTTATGCTCTGAATCTCATATACTGAATATCTTGTGATGCCTTATGATAGAAAATAAATTCAAGAAATATGTGTGCGAAGATTAAAGTACTGGACCAAAAGAAAACTGAAATATCAAAAGGACATAAATTATACAACATGATGCAGTACTTCGATACTCAAATAGTAAAACTTTACAAGTTACGCGTTCTGAAAATCTGGAAGTATATGGAAATTTTTCCAACGACTTTTATCCTTCACATTTAGAATACATATGAAATCTTGGACTTCAATTTCCTTGATAAAAAAAAGCCTTAAAAATGTCAAAGGATTCTGAAAACTTTCAAACAACTTTAGTTGTAGAACACAGTTGTACAGCAAAGGTTATTGCAATTTTATTCAAAAATTTTTTAAAAGTCAAATGCAATTAAATGAAATCCCTCTCTTCACTTTTTTTGCTATATAAACTATCACACATGAAGATTATCGACATTTCAATTAATGGCTGAAAATGCTGCATAATTTAGAACTTTTTCCATGCATAGCGTACCACATTCTGAAATTTTTCATCAATTTCCCTTCAATTCATCGGACAGTATGGCATCACAACCAAATTCTGGATAATTAAAAAATAGATGTACAGCTCTAAAAGAAATTTTATCTTCCGAGTGCATAATTCCTCCTTCCTTTACCATGCATTCCTGCATTATCTCATTTTCACATTCTATTTGAAGCCATCACGTTTTCACTGGATGACTGTGTGTGGGTAGGTAATCGTGACAATTCCCGGACACTTGAAATGCACTTGGGAAATGGGAATTAATTTTCTTTCATCAACCATTATGTGTGACATGTTATGCACTGCTTATTGTGGTTTTATTGCTCTCTATTTACAAACTGCAGTTTGAAACGAATTATGTTTTTATTCACTTTCGATGGTTTTTAAACTTATTATGCTTTAATCGTACAGACATTAAAAATATTTATTCGATGAGGTGTAGAAGCTCTTTTTTATTATTTTTTTTTAACCACAATATTTTTACAAAAAACATTAAAATATTTTCAAAAGTTTATTTCAAAGATTTATATATTGAATTTGATAAAAAAAAATTATTTTTCATCGTAAAAGCATTTGAAACGTTTTCGTGTGAATTTCTATCTTAGCAAAAAGTGATGCCCCAAGAGAACAAAAAATTTCTCACTCTATGGTTTGAAAACCAGAGAGTTCAGCTTTAAATTCCGTCTCGAAAAAAATTCTTCACTATTTTTCATACTAATATTGTCACCTCAAAGTATGTAAAAATTTTAAAAAACTTTAATAAAAATCGTCACATAGATTTGTTGATGTGATTAAATAACTTTCTTCTAACGATTAACCGAGCATGTGTGGATAAAAAGTTAACAAATTCACTTTACGAACATTCTAAGATTAGTTACTTTATCTCCAGAATACTAAAAAATGTGATATATTGAGTGATAAAAGTTTTTACTCGTACACACATATTTCAAGTTTCGATCCAACCACTACCTGAGCATTTACGCACGTACATGATCCCAATATCACTTTCTTTATCTTTTTTTCTTGTCATCATAGTTTTCGAGTGCACTTAAACTGCTTGGAGGTATGAGCTGCGGCTTCAATCTCTCACTAATTCATTGTCGCACTCACCCTTAGTATATTTTATATATATAAAGTTGGAGTGTCGATAGGAACTCGATTCTTCGTCTCGCGAGCCAATGACACGATAGAAAAGTATAGAAAGTACACACCACTTAGTGACGATGCAATGCCACTTACTAGACGTTAAATTGGCAGACTGTACGTGCGACGAAAGAAAATTCACAACGAGTATATGTACATATAGCCATACGTACAGAAACGATCGATCGGGCGCAAGACTATACAAACCCCCGATAGCAAATTGTCGGATACCAGAGTATTCCACGTAATTTCTTCCTGTACTATTCTAGGGGCCCGTACGTGATATTCACAGACAATATGCGCCATGAAGCAGAAAGCATTCATTCGAACTACATCTCGTTTGTCTCATACCAATTTTGTATGACAGTAAATAAGGGGAGAAAGAGATAAACTAAATTTATTTCGTAACCGACTTCTCTTTAAATTAATTAGTTATAAAAATAAATATATTATTATTTAATTGCAAGCTCGTTATTGGAGTTATTTCAGAAAGACAACAATGTGAAATCATTTGAATTTCAAAGGAATGTCTAAAAACAAATATTGGTATGAATAATTAAATTCTAAAAGGCTTTTTTTTTAATAATAATAAAATATATGAAAATTCATATAAAATTGTTTTTATTAATTTTATTTCAACAACTGAAATTTTACGATGTCTTTCGAATGTTGAATTTTTTATTCAAACCTAACTGAAAAAAAAAGTTTTCCTATTGTTTTTCTACGTTTTGATCGATGAATGAATCTGTTTCAACTATCTATCAAAAGATCAGTCAACAATTTGTGTAGTTTTTTCAATGATTTTGTGATGACATCCTAAAGTTTTAACGTTTAATATAATTTTGTTATTTTACATTTAAATACAATTTTTATTATCCCTATTAAAAATTGACCTATAAAAAAACCAAATTTTGTGCTGGGAAATGGTGTAATTGAATTGGATAACTGTGAATAGCTTTTATCATGAGTAGCACATTTTCTGTAATATTTTTTGACATTTACATTACATATCCTATGTATATATTTTCCAAAATATTTTATTTTCAGTGAGATAGTTAAATTACAAGATCGAAATCCACATTAACCGGTTGAGAGACATCAAAGAAATGACGAAAGCATCGTATTCTATTCAATGCATCCAATCTACCATGACCTTTGGAATATGTATTCATTTTATATGTTCTCGTTTCTATCTATTTTCCTTTGTCTCTTTTTTCCTATTTCCTAGTTGAATTCCACCCCGCCATAAGTTCATTGGGTTCACGATTGCTTCTATTTGGCGAATACAAGTGAAAGGAGAATAGCAAACGCGACGACTCGAGGTTTAGGTGAACATGGAAATTGCACGGGAAACCAGAGCGCTTGAACAACTCTCAAGTGGTTAGAATAGGACGAGGTGTGATTCAGCTTCCCAATTACTTTTACCTCTTAGAATTTACGAATCTATTGGCTTACTGTTCGAAATTTCTAAGTTTCCTTATTGCTCATGCCTTTAGGCAACTCAATATACACATACGATCCACCAGGATGTGTTTTATTTAATACATTAACCCTATTAATTGTAGTATCTCTCATGTGTTTCAATGCAAGTTTCGGCAAGTGATATTGTATACTAAAATGCATCCTGCAAGTGATTATAATACATGCATGATGTTCAGTAAATGGATATTGAAACCCTATCAGTTGAAGTTAGCATTGAAATAAATTCGTGCGTATGTAATTCCTAGCGGTAATATTTTTTAAATGTGCAGCGTAGCGTAGTGGTTTTATGTTCACACGACGAGTCTCATAGCTATATGCATGTTGCTATTGCCAATACTCACTTCCAGTCCAATGAAAATGGGGAGGAGTGGTGCTCTCTACTCTAATAACAGTCGAAGGGTGTAAATGTATGCTGCCACGTAAATTCAGAGCTAGGTTTTCCCATTAAAGCTGTGGTAATAGTAACGACTCGAACGTTGTGGTTGTTTAAAACGATTTTCAAAAGGCTCTCATACTTGAATCACAATCGATACAACTGTATTCGATAGATTTATTATTTCATCTGATTTTATATGCTTACTAATTCTTTATTATTACACTTGTACCGAGATCAATTCACAAACATTTTTTATCTCTTTTATTTTTTTAAAGAGGAACTACTTCTTTTAATAACCATCGTAAAGAGTGGTTTGGAATCGGAGAATTCAATAGAAATTTATTTAATCATCCTGGAATTTCTTAATTGAACTACTCGGAAATTTAACGTGAATTGGAGTAATTGATGTCATACTTGAATTACGAAAATTACTATAATATAAATAAATGCTTAAAAAATTTCTGTTTAACAAATCATTTTGACAATAATTATGTTATTGTCAAATATTTATAGAGATTTGTTTTGTTTTTTTTTTTACTATTTAGTTTATTGATGAAATCAAAGTAGTTCAAAATGAAGTTTACAGAGAAAAAACTATAAATTTTATCTCAAAAATCGTAAGCAATTTTACGTTTGCTCTCAACTTACTTTCCAGTGATTTCATTTACGGGTAAATCAATGACTGAATATTTTGTGAAACTCATTATTATGAATTTTACAAATGTAATGAAAGTACGTAACTTGTCAACAATGCACCTTTGCCATTTTAATTAAAATTTCATTCAAAATTCTATTCACCAAATGTATAATTAATTAACTAACGATAATCATCATAATAGTGTTGTTTTAAAGAAAAAAATGTTCTGAACTTACGACTGCCGGTGAAAGTTTCGTTTGAGAATTGTTCGTGATATTGTATCTCTATCCATAAATTATTTATTGTCATTCTTTTGATGCTGAAACAAAGAAAAAGAAGAAACAATTGAAATTTTGACTTTATTTGAAATAAATAAATCTCGACTACCTTTGTAAATTATTTTTGAGATTTTTTTTCAGTATCTCATATTTTTGCAAAATTAAAATGCAAAATGTAATTAAAAATACAAAACGATATTAAAGACCTTTAGTAACATTAAAAATGAAGATAATCATTTTTACGAAGTAATTTCTTTTGTTAGAAATATTTTGAAAATATTGAATAAATTCTGCACATAAATTCCAAAAAAAAAATGAATAATGGAATTCGTCTCATATTGAATAGATAAAAACGTAAAATATAAAAGTGTAATTTAAAAAATTTTTCAAATCAACAGATAGTTCTGATATTAGGAATAGAAAATTAATTGGCTTATCAAAGATAGAAGTTGTAAAATATTCACTTTCATCTGTTTTTACCTTCAGCCGAATTCTCGGCAATAGACAAATGAATAAATAAATGAGTAAAAAATCTAAACTAAATTGATAATGTCTCAAGTGACTTAAACTCGACAGTTCATTGACGTTGTCTGCTAAAACCACTTTCTTTCCTTAAATCTTTTTCTCTACGGTTCGCGTTTTATCACTGGGGAATTGAGTCTTCCTATATACATAAAACAATATAATTTTTTTTCACAATTGAAAAACAATTTCCCATTAATTCTAGGTTATTTTTGTAAATAATAAATAAGAAATTTGCGATAAAATATAGATAAAGTCACCAAGGGATTTTTTAAATAAAAAATGACTAAAAATTTTCTTCCATATTTGTGAGTAAACTACTTCCAGAGGAAGAAGAGAGTTCATTGGCTAATCTCACTTGGCACTTCTCCAAACGTATAATCAGATTGGTGTTGCATTCGTATTTTTTTTATTTCTCTCTTCACTTCAAGTGCGAAATACTGCTTATTCGCGTTGCTGTCATCACTAAAAATCTGACATTCTCGGTGTACTTTGTTTTTTTCTTATCATTTTTTTTTCCAACAAACATCAAGATAAAGTTTATTTTATTTAAACTAATTTAAAGGAGAGATAAAAAAAATATAAGTAAATATTTATTAGTGTAGTATAGGTAAAAAATAAAGGCAAAAAAAAAAATTGAAGCAAAACTCAAATTAAGATTCGAAAAAGTTTGTTTTTCTGAGTCAATGATAAAAAAATGAAGCAAATAGTAGTGTACGTGAGTAAAATTTTTAAGAATAGAAAAAAATTAATATAATAGACAAAAAGAAACTCTTTTTTACTTTTTCTTTATTTCATCCTGTATATAGTGACTGTCCGATTTATTCGATGGATTGGTATTACTACTTCTCAAGTTTTACGTCCTTGGGGAAATTCTTTCTCTTTCGATTTTTTTTCACAAATAAGGTGAAACTACAAATTGTCTCAGATGTTAAAGTGACTGAAGAGGTAAAGAGCTTTTAATAATGTATTTTTCTTTTACGGCTTTATACATTAAATTCTTTTTTTTAAACTCCTCAAGTAATTGAGATGTCTTATTATTTGATTCATTATAAAAAATAGTAAATTATTAATCATCAAGCATAAAAATTTAATCCAACCTATTTATTTTCATAAAACAAAAATTTCAGTCGCTTACTTTTAGATGTCAGACTTTCCTAAGTTAAATGTTTCGACATTTTTTCAAATAATTCAAAATGGTTTAGAGGATTCATTTCAAAGTATTATTAGTCATTAATAACTGGTAAACTTATTAATCTATTAGTTGACAGGCTATTTCATAATTATCGAATAATTATCAAAGGATATTACTGAACTCATTAGAACTACTTATAACTGACAACTCATCAAAATTTTATTTTGACTTCAAACTTTCAAGCGTAACTGAGTAGTTATTTTGAATTACAGAATTACCTGACTGTAGAAAATCGATGAAAACAAAAATTTTAATTCATTAGATGAACTTAAGAAAATTTTAGTTCCCATAAAAAGGAAGAAAAATAGCAGATAAACATTGAAGTGAATAAAACTCGAGAAATAAATTCGTATAAATCTACATTTTTATTGTTGAGCTGAAGAAGTTGCAAAACTACGTTGAAAGGACTAGAATCGTCTTTAATGACTCATGAACGAGAGTATAATAATATAATCCCAGTCCGTGGCTTGTGCTCGGAAAACCTCTAACACGTTCTTCGCGACAAAAGGAGAAAAGCACCTACGGGGCTTCTATGCTTTTAGAGCAAACGAGTTTAACAAAGATAACGATATCGCATTTCTCTATTCTACTCTTTTATGTCTCCTATTACGTGCATGGCATATTAGATCCATTCGTTTTACAAATTTATCGACTCTTTGCCATCCAGATACTTTTTTTCATTTGGATTTTGTCCTACTGCACGTTTAAATTCACAAGACATTACTCATTGAAGACATATTTTATTGGCTTCAATAATTGATTGGCTCTTTTAGCTCTTGTTTTTTTATTCATTATCAATTTACCGAAAATATTTAGAGAAATAATTTAGGAACTCGGCGACTAAGTTAGAGGAAGGAAAGTGAGAATATGTATGAATTCTTCTCATGTGACTTTAACCAAGTAAATTTACGAGCTTGACATACACGGATACTAAAAACAGCAAGGTTTCAACGTGAAGATTGGGTTTCCTAGTGGTGATAACTCTCGTCTATTTCTACTTTTTTTTTCTTTATGTAGCTATATACAGTTAAGGGAAATTCATCGCAGTCTACAATAAATCAGAGAGATTTTGCTCAGAGAGAAAAAAATCACTTTTTCATCTATATATGTTATATTTTATTTATATATAGCAATCACGTTGTTGTTACTTACATCAAGTCATTGTTTTCCACACTTTGAAAAGATTTAAGATGAAATTTCTGAGAAAAATGCTTTACTCAAGTCTACACCTCAATTCAATAAATTTTTGATTTATTTTAAATAACTCATAAAAAATTGTAAATAGCTTTTTTTTTAAAAAAAAAACTCCTAGTATAAATAGAATTGAAAAAGAAACTCAATAAACAAATAATGATTTTGTATATTTTATAAGAAAAATCCTGTATGTAAGAATCAATTTCAAGTAAGTACAAGTACTTTTTTATTGTGAACGAAATAGCTTTACACAATCTCAGCTTTTATTTGGTGTCTCCCAGCAAGTTTAAGTTTACGATAATTCGTAAAATATTACTACTTGATATTGTTGTCAAACAAGACATTAAATTGTTTACTCATTTTCACCTGAAACAATCTTATTTTCTGTTAAGTATCAACTGCTTAGTTAAAAGTTCACACATTTCAATTAATTTAATTAAAAATAATTAAAACCAAAACTATACATAAAAGGAAGTCAAAATGTTACTGAAAGTAATTAAACTTCATAACATGAAAGTATATTGCAACAAAAAGTATTTAAAAACAATATTTTTAATCTAGTCACGGAGCCCTGTAAACGTAAAATAGATTGTTCGTGAACTCACGTATTTCGTTAACAACCTCTTCATCCCTAAATAAATTCTTTACTAGATAAAAGTCTCTTTCGGTATTTAAGAAACTTAGTTCCTTCGTTATGTCATTTTTTTTCTTATACAGAAAAGCACACCAAGAATGAGGAGATTCTATTTACGTATAAATATGCAGAAATAAGTTTTTTTTATCTTGTTTTTGATTTTAAAATAAGTTTTAAAGTACTCTAAAGAAGAAGAAAAGACAATTTTACTGCAATGAGAAACAACGTAGAGTAAATAACTATTTTTAGTGAATAAATTAAATATAGGACGTTATTAGAAAATATGATTAATCAAGTAAATAATGTAAAAACAAAACATAAAGTTAATGTAATGTGCATATCATTCATTTGTTTTATAAGCTAATAGCAATTACATTAAATGCTGACAAGAGTTAAATTAATTTTGAACTCCGACATATGAATAAATTAGTTTGGTTTTGCATAACTAACAAAATTATTAATTATTAATATCGCCAAATAAGCATACAAAATCGATCGAAATTAATGTTACCAAGTCAGCGGATAACCCATTTTACTATAATATCATTTATTATGAACTTATACGATATTATTCCAGACGGCTTTTCGCTTTCACTACATAGTTCCGGGTAAATGGAACTTTGACGAAGTGTAAATGAGCCTACAGCGTCATAGAGAGTGTGCGCACTTAAAACGCCTCTTGGGCACTCTTTTGGCGACTTCACCCTCATATTTAGAAGTCTGACGCATATACCAAACGATAAAGTGGTGGTGGTGTCAAGTAGGAGTTAGTAAAGATGTTGAATGGATGTTTGGAGAAAAGCTGAGTGAAACTATGCACACTCATAGGGAGATTATTGACAGATAGAAGAATAGAGGAAATTCGTGAAAAGAGACTTACAATGGTGCAGAATCTCAATCAAAAAATTTTTATTGATGAATGCTTTTAAAATTTTTTTGCAATATATTTAAAAGCAAGTTTGTAAAGAAAAATTTAGTTTAATAGAAAAAAAAAGAATCATGAATGGAATGAATTTCGAATGTTAGTATAATACTACTTATTAAAGAAACGAGTTAATGAATTCATAGTATGAAGAATAAACTTTTGTTATAAATATTTTTAATGAATGAAAATAAAAGTATCTCAGTCAGAGTAACCCATTCAATGTGATATGTACACAAGTTCTGACACCATGAATGTATATACATTTTCTCTCATCGCCGGATACTGCCAGAGTGTCCATGCTTTTCCCTGTTCATCGAGAGAAATCCTACTAAAGAAGACTCCTTTTGTCTCGCTCTTTTGTTGGATCGTCAGTGTGCTCGGCATCTGTTTTATGTTCTTGCTAGAGAGCAACTTGGTCACGAAGCTTGGCTCTTCACCCTTTTGGTTGGCTCCAGGATTTGGACCACCTTTTATAGATCTGTATATACATGTATATACATACTACCAAATATATATATATATATATATGTATATATATATATATATATTCATTCACTGTGAAAAGCCTTTA